CTCTAATTCAGTTACAAAATCCAAATCCCTAGTCAGAATGAACAGCAGCCTGTAACAGTATCCTGTCATAAAATCGGGATAGCTCCTTGAAGAATATTAGCATTGAAGCAGAAGTGTGTTTTACAGCCCCTCGAGGCTTTCTCGTTATTCAATAAAATCTGCTGCTCAGCTACACCTTCCCACATGCTCCCCATATCCCTTACTAATGTTCAAAAATCTGTTGATCTCTGACATGAACATACTCAATGATTTAGCATTCACAGTTCTCTAGGTGGTGTGTTTCAATTATCCATGAATGCTGCCAAATAAGCTAAGTATTACCAGAATATTCACTTACCAAACACATCCTATAAAAGCTTCTACATGTATGTGAAGAGAAAAAGATTAATGAAGATAAATGTATGTCCCTTTCAGTCAGATGTAGGGAAAGTTATAGTGGGGAACAAAGAGATGGCAGACCACTTAAATACATAATTTGGTTCTGTCTTCACAATGGAGGACAAAAATAAATCCCAAAAATGTTTGGGAACACAGGCTCTCATTAGAGGGAGGAACTGAAGAAAATCAGTATTAGTAGGGAAATAGTGTTGACGAAATTGATGGGATTAAAAGCTGATAAATTTCCAAGGCCCAATAATCTCCATCCCAGAATATTAATGGAAGTAGTCACAGAAGTAGTGGATGCACTGGTGGTCAACTTGCAAGATTCTACGGATCCCGAAACAGTTACCATGGATTGGAGAGTGGCTATTGTAACCCCACTAGTTAGAAAAGGAGGTTGAGAGAAAATGGGGAAGTATAGCCTAGATAGCCTGACGTCAGTAGTGGGGAAAATACTATAGTTCAATCCATTTTTAAAACTAGCCCCATTGTTTTGCTTTGTGATTTTCTTTCTTTTTTTTTGAATTTGTTCTCAGATGGTGGTTATTTAAGATTCTGCCTTTCATCCTCCTCCAACGTCATCCTTTACCTCCTAACTTCTCCTTTTATGACCCCATATGACTCTGCACTATGAAACCTTTTGTCATTTCATCTATCCTGCCCTCCACCCTTTCCTAGGGCCTTCCCTTTTGTTCTTTCTACCATTCCCCCTTTCACTGGTTCAAAGCATTTCTAATTTCTTCCCAGTTGTGATGAAAGGTCATTGACCTGAAACGTTAACAATGTTTCTCTATTTCTTGCTAAAGGTGTTGCCAGATCTGTGGAGTATTTCCAGCATTTTCTGTTTATATTCCAAAAATTAACAGCTCTGAGCAAAGAAATTTTGCTTTATCTTCTTCCTAAATGGCTAAATTCTTAGCTTGAGGCTGCAACTTCTAGTTCTACCACGTAGAGTGGGTAACCAAAAAGCATCTTCCCTGCCAAGCTCTTTAGCAATTGTACATTTTTCAATTCAATCACACCTTTTTCATCTAAACCGTGGAGAGTATAAACCAAATCTACTTCAACTCTGCTGATAGGACAAATCCCCTCATCCCAGGAGTCAGTCCAGTGAATCCCCGTTGAATAACTTTTAAGGCATGTATATATGTGCTTCAGACCCAACAGATGCTTTTAGAATACGATTAGCAATCATTTTCAAACATATTGGCTCATTTAAATGGATATGATTTCACATTATGCACCTGTTCACTGTTTCATTTCTATTACATATGTTAACCTTCAGAAGCCTTTATATTGCCTTTACTGAAGTCCATCAATTTAATTTGGCAAATCTCTTTGATGATAGACCACAAAAATTGACACAGCCATTTATGGAACATCACTGGTTATATTTTCTAAAGCAAAGGATTTATCTTCACCCTCTCTTGTGTTCAATCCACCCAAGTAACTTTTCAACTATTTCATGAGCCGTTTTACGGGCCTCACGGGAGATACTTTGTCACATGTCTTTTGAAAGTCCAAGTAAACTATTTATATGCTTTGAATTATCTCAAAGATTGCAGGAAGATTGTCAGCACTCTCAAACTGGATTCATATCCAAACTGAAATCTTCAGCTTTTCCTTTGTCTCTATTCCCATATGTCTGTATCATCCTTTTTCATTTTTGTTAGGAATAGAATTTGTTTTTTGAAATAAACATTCAGCTATTAGCCACTGATTTTGGAATAAATTCTGTATCAGAGAAAAGTTTTGGTTAATCAAAACCTTTTAATTCAAACAATTAGGGTTGAATATAACTATAATCCACATTTATTTTCTAGTCTTCATTGGTGGGACTAATGAGTCTCCCTCTTCCCACTATTGTCGGGTAATTTTGTAATTTTCCTTTTAACTGTTCCGACTGGGAATAGGTTAATGAGCAGGGGGAATAAACATCAAAGGCTTTGTTGAAAACAGTTAATCACAATGTCATAAACCAGCGATAAAATAATTTTGATATTTTGATTTGAGTTTTCCCAGCAGCAGCTGCTTGGTGTTGCAGCTGATCACACATTTTGCAGTTCCCTAGGAGTTTAGAGATAGATCAAGTGACACTCAGAATTGGCTCTATACTACTGCAAGAAAGACTGGCAAATGGAGATTTGATTACAGTTGATTTTTAAAGTGAGGGATTATCCATAGAGACCTTACAAATATGGCTGTTGAATAATATAATGTACTTTACTTTTACATGTTTCTGATTCACTCTGTTGATGATTTCCCAGCTGAACAATTAGCCTGACTCGTACAAGCAAGACAATATAGTCAATGCTACCCTTGAACCTTGAAGAGTTGCTTGCCACACCTCATGTCTGGGACAACCTCATGTCTCAATATTTTGTTTGCCATATCTACAGGCGTCTCTTACTCTTGTTTTCAAAGATTAATGTTCAAAAATTCAGAAAATAAAGAGGTGACTGCGGGTCTTGACAATGTGTGGTCGTGTAAAATGGCTGATAGAACTTCAATGAGCTATTTGAGCAAGTAAGCATATGGTCTTACTGAGTGCCTTGTATTTACTTTGTTTTAGTGTGTGTAGTCAGAACAGATGTGGATCACACACTTTGATTTGAAGCTACCTTTCTTCACTTTGTGGTTTATCTAATAAAACTAGTTAAGGTCAAACTGTCATCGTTCGACTTTGCAGACAAAGCTTATAGTACATGAATTGAGCAATGCCATGTGTTTAGAAGCTCATTTTAGGTGCTATTTTGAGTTTTACATGTTAATTGATGCAGTTTAGCAGATGGCATTTTATTTTAATTGCATTCCAGATCACATCAACTTGCTATGGAAATATCCTTGCCATCAACCTCAACTTTCTGATTCGTTTTATTGCCTTTTAGGAAATTCCAGCTTTCAATATCATTTCCCAGACCTTGTGGTCAGGAACAGGAAAGAATTCATGGGACCTACTTCTGCTCTTGGTCTGGGCCCCTGGCACTACCCTGAACTTCCAAAGGGAACACAGCGCTCCCACTCCCAGTGCCCAACCCAAACACAGTGTCACCACCCCTGACATAGGCCCAGTGAGTCCCCTCAAGTCTGGGCATTAGGTATTGGGCCCAGTGCCTGCTTGTTAGGATGTGCCTATTGTGCCCTGAACAATCTCCTTGAAGGACATCTCCTATGGTTCAATTACCGTTTTGCCTGTCAATTTTTCATCCCACTTCAACTGGGCCAGTTGTCTTTTCAATTCACTGAAGTTTCCCTTTTCCAGTTGCGTAATTGTTTTTGATCTTTTTTATAAAAATTCCGAACCAATGATCTCATTTTCGGTGTTTCTCAAATGCTCCTCTCCTCGAATATGCTCCAATATCATTTCCCCGAACTAAATCCAGTGTGGCTTCCTTCCTTAAGATACTTTGAGCTGTTGTCAACTAAACACTTGGAAGTAGCTGATGGAGTGGCACACTCTCACTCACAACAGTCATGTGTAGAGTTTCAGGATCAGCCAGCATTTAGGTTTACATGAATTAATAGCTTCTATCTTTTTATCTCATTTTATTGCTGTTCATATTTCCATTAGTCAGTCAACCTGAAACATTTTCATTCTCCCAGAAAATGGTGTACTGGTGCAAGCTGTTATCTGGATTTACAGTCACAGAAATGATCTCAAAAGCAAAACATACCCAGGACAATATTGGGTCATTAAGTTGGTTAGATGCCGAGATGTTAATCAGCCTCCAAGAAACAGCTTAATGGCTCATTTAGCTGTAAATTGTATTTAGCTGAAAGAGTGGATCGTTTGTATTTGTAAAATGGGAGTGGGTGGGAAACAATTCAGTAAGGCAAGGTGATGGAACTCAGAAATAAACACCATGAGCTAATAATGCCTTTCAGTGATGAATGATTCAATATTTTTTGCTTGGTTGTTAGAATTCAGGGTCAATATAATGTAACCACATCACTTTAGCTCAGACTTTTTTAATTCTAAGAATTGCTGTTCACTCAAGTCTAGATCGAATTTTAAAGTATTAACCTATCTTTGTTGTAATTAATGGTATTGATTAAATGGGTATAGAGACTTTTTGTACACATTGAGTTAACTTATTTCAGCTTGGCTGATAGCTGGAGTGCTACGATTAGATTCAACATCTCTGTGACAGAAATGGGTAAACCACCCAGGATTTCTGCATCCTATTGCTATTCAGTTATTCTTGTTGGAAAGTATATATTGGGAAATTCAGTGGGGACTTGAGAGCAGAGTTACTGACACTCATTTGTTTAGACTGGCAGATGGAAAATGATATTGAAATGTGGTCAATGTCTATAAGTTGTAACTGAAGTTGTTCTGGACCCTTCAAGAGTGCAAGGGAACACCTTTGAATGGCAGAGCAGGATCACAAGGTGAAATGGAGCTACTCCTGATCCTAAGCCCTGCGCTGTTATGTAACAGGCCCTTTGAAACTGTTTCCCTCCTGGCAGAGTCTGGATTTAAGTAGTTCCCAGGTAGTCAGGAACCAAACCTGTCTAAATTTGTATTTATTTGTTCTATTCTCAGGTACACTGTGGCAATGTGATTATTCTAGTTCCAAGTATCCTGACAAGCGTATTTAATAAAACTGAAATGCAGCTAAATTGCAATTATCAATTTTATTCACTGCTTCTGGAGTTCATTTGGTGGCTTTTTAATTAAGCTTTCAAGACTTCCGGTAACTTTCCCACTATCAATACATGTGACCTGAAAGAAAAATAAACCATTAATAATCCAAACAGCAAATTAATTGGCTCAGAAATTTGTGAAACGTTGTACTGTAGCAAAGGTGCATCAATGATGCAAGCATTGATACAGCACAGTCTGACGAGGAAGTGATCTATATTACTCATCCCATTATGTATACAATATCAGAATTTCCTGAGCCCTCTGCCTTGCTCTTCTTATCACCCTCCCTATTCAGCAAAAAACAATTATCATAATGGGTGGAACAAATTTGAATTTTTTACTTTGGGTGTTGGGGTCACCGAGATCGATGATCTGAAACTAAATTTTTAACCTCTGCGAAAATATAACTTCATGTTTTAAATTAGCTATTTTAATACACAATTCACTCTTTCTTGAAACACAGGATTTCAGATGAGTTGGTAGATATCCAGGCTACTCTTTGCTGTTTCTTGGTTACTCTTTTTGAATGACCTTATTTGGAACAATGGTCAGGTGCATCCATTGACTATGAGATCCTTGATTGGGGTTGTTAACCTGGGCCAATCAGGGAGCCCTGGCTGACATATAAACAGGAGATTCATAATGTCTAGGGACTGGCTTGGAGCTGGCTGGTCACAGTTAATGTAGAGTGCAAATGTAAATAAACTTGGTGATGGGATACCAGCGTCTGTGCAGTTATTTCAACAACGATCAATGATCCTCTCACTTTGATTCAGAGGAAATATTTTCATCCAGTTTCCTTTAATCAGATCCGCTTTTAAGTTTAACTTTGGAGAAATACCAAATAATATATGTGACACATTTGCTACATCACTTTATCCCTTAATATTATGGGGCAAATACATTAGTCATTGAATGCACCACTTCCAAAATACCATTAACATCACTGTGGCATGTTCCAATTATTCCAGCAGCATGGTTGAGGGACCTTTTTTCCACTGGAAGATCAGAAACACCTAACATTGGGTATTTGACATGGAACTCACCATTCAGAAAATTCATGGCCAATACATCTCTTAAAGGTGTAATTCTGCATTTAGGGGATAGTCAGTTGAGGTCAAGTGCATGCCAATAATGGGAGACCACCTGCTTTTATTTACAGGGAACACATCATAATAGATCTATGATATTAAGATGAATTTTTACTTGTGGGTCTCGATTGGATCATTAGAAGGAAATAAAGGTACTGCTGTTGGCACCCAGAGGGTGATTTTTGAAGAGGTACCTGAATAAATGTTTACCAACAGGCATGGCATCCAAATAAATCCAGAGGTTGGGCTTCATCACCGACACACTGGGAGCCTCACTGTCAATGTTGGGAGCAGCCATAGTAGGTAAGAGAAAGAAATGACTTCTTAAGAAGGAGGAACCTTTTGCTGACATTTTTTTTAAAAATTGAAAAGAAAGAGGCTGCAGCTGCCTGACTATTATCATGGAGAGGGAGTTCTCCACATGGCAGCATATAGTTTCAGATTGCCTTTTTGTAATTGTGGCAAAGGTATGACAGGATGAGGTGTTCGCTGGCTTGCCAGCTTGCTGCCCTAAGGTCACTTCAAGTCATGCCACCAGGGAACTGGCCAAACCTGCTCTCTCCGAGGGCACTTAGACAATCACCAAGGATACCAGCTCCAAGTGGGGCTGTCCCCTTTCCCTATGTGGATTATAAATAAGAAATAAAAACCTACTATTAAAATCCCAGAAAAGAAAACAGCTCTTCTAAAAGTCACTCAGAAAAAAAAAGAACTGAGGTTCGGCCTTAGTGGAGGACCCAACTGTGAACTGGTATACTCAAGTCGTTGAGTGCACAGTGGCCTTGACAGACCTAATGACTACTTGCAAAATGGTAGCTAACTCTTCCAACTAGGCTCCTCAAAAATGTGCAAGGCATGGCCAGGCTGGCAACCTGCCATGCCGTTTGGAGACCGGAAATGGCAAAATAATCTAGACCTGGTCCTTGCTTCCGTGAATGTTTTAAAATATGACTCTGAATATCACCGTCAAAGTTCTTGTCTGCACAAAATGTTCCCCTGTAGTTTTCCTGTGACCATATTTGTTATGTGGTATTCAAGGTATGGGCTGATCTGACTGCAACAGAGTTTGATTAACACTTTGATTTTTATTTTATTGCTGCAAAGTTTAACATTATGTAGGCTTGTTGATTATTTCTCTAGTAGTTTGTTATTTTGTGACTGGAGTCTACAAAGGCTTTTTGGACTCTTTCAACTTCGCCACAAGTCAAAGACTTGCCTCCAATTCTATTGCCCAGCCTAGTTTGGTTTTTGTCATAGTCTTACCTGACCATAGGGCTGCTCCCTCATACAGACAGAGGCGCCCAGGGGTAGTTTAACCTGAGGGTCACCATGTCTCAGTTGTGGGGAGAGGTTGAAAAGGAGAGTCCTTCATGGTAACCTGAGCTGGTGTTGGCATCACACTGTATTATAAACCATATAAACATACAATGCTGTCCCCTTACTTGAGGAGGGATATAACTGTATTGGAGGCCATTCAGAGGTGGTTCACAGCAAACAATGTTTTCACATCAATTAATCTGGTTTGCAATGTGAATGTAGGTCTAAGACAGATGTATTTAGTATGTTGATCTTTTGTTTGAAACTTTGCCACCTTCATATTTCCAAAACAGCCAACAGAGTCAAAAGGCACAAATATGTGCTTATTAGTAAGGATCTAACAACTTCTGAATAGACACCACAAACAGATTGTGCTTTACTAACCTTAACAATAGTCTCCATAGTCAGCACAGCAATCTTGGTGTTTAGAACAGCTTGCAGTACAACTGCATGGAAAATTAGGTGAATATGCACCACATCGTCCAGCGCAGGATGTTATATCTACACCTTCGCAGCTACATGGACCACCACTGATTCCACCACTGATGCCAATACTTGTCCCAGTCTTATATTTAGCATCAGCAGTGTTAGCTATGCAAAAAGAGAAAATTGGATAAGGCAGAAGAAAGCTTCACTCTATGCATGACAATTGCAAGAGCTAGTAGGCAAACAAGCACATTCTTTTCAAACAATATTCTTTAAAAATGAATATATATAATGATATAGACAGATAACATCATGGGTTATGGCATTGCTGTCTTTCTAATACTTGCTTTCTAATTTACTGCTCATGTTGCCTCAAATGACATACCACACTTCACATTGAAAACTACTATTAAAAGTTATGAATGAATGGTTTTAATTCAGCAGTGTACCATACACATACCTGAATATTATATATGCCACAGTCAAGGGTCAGGTAAAATTCCTGGTTATTGGAGGTTGAGATCAGGGCTAGTGAGGGAGTGGATGATGGATAGGCTGTGGTTAGAGGAGATGTTAATGATGGGGAGGATGTCAGGAGGAGTCTGGCAGGAATCAGTGATGGAAGGTGGTATCAGATGAGACCATGGAGTTGGGGGGCAAGGTCAAATAAGCTTGTGAGTCTTGAGTAGGCACTTTTCCTCCTAGCTCACAAGCAGTCCTATGAAACTGTTCACTGATAGATATAGCCCTTTTTAACTGCTGGTTGCTTGAGGCCTGGGAAACCTGGTTGACATAGAATAAAAATAGAAGTATGCAACCTCTTTAAAAGACTTTAACAACTGACCCACCTCCTGAGAGCTGATTGGTGGCTTGCCTGATTCTTTGCCTCCATTAAAACTAGAAGGGCTCAGGTTTGTAGCTGGTTGAGTTCCCATTTCAGATTTTTATCTATTTCATTTCCCACTGAACTCTAACTCCTCCATTTTGGATGTTAAAATTATCCCCTAAAATCTCAACTGTTTAAAAAGTTTTACTGTATTGTTAGAAAATATCAATCTGGATTTGCCAACGGTTCCAATTGCCTGAAATTCATCTGCCCTTGCCTTAGGTATTTAACTAGTTGGGAGTAATGATACTTCAATGACTTGGCGCTCACTGTCAGAATAATTCTAAATGATCACAGTACTTCTGGCCATAATCATATCAATTTGTAAAGCAACACCAAATTCTACTCATCTGAATAACATGTAAGTTTATTTCTCAAATATTGTAGCTATTCTATTAAAAAATATGGAAAAATGAGAATACCATTGAAAATGTGCAAACTTGTGGTTTCATATTGGTAGCCCAGTCACTGATTACTAGTCCAAAGATCCTGGACTAATGATACAGAAGCATCAATTCAAAACCCACGGTAGCAGTTTGAGAATTTAAGTTCAGCTAACTAAGAGAATCTAGAATTAAAAGATTGCATCAGCAGTGCTGACAAAAAACCCACCAAACTGATGTAAAATTCCAGTTCATCTCCTGATATCACTTTGAGAAGGAAATCTGCTGTCCTTTCCCAACCTGGACTGTATGTGATTCCTGATATGTGTCAATGTGTCTGACTCTTAATTGTCCTATGAATTGGCCTGGAACGTGATTTGTGAAGGGCAATGCTGACTTTGCCAGCGATGCTATTTTCCATGAATTACCATAAAAATGTTATCTATCCCTTTTTTATAACTTTAATATCACCATCATAGTGGTTAAACAACAAGGAAAACAGCCTGTATTTTGATTTTTATATGTGGGCTATTGACAAAACTGATAGCAAAATGCTGTGCTTCCTTCTTTTTACAATTCATTAAACTTGACAATTCAGTCTTTGTTGAGATAAAAATGAAATATTAAAGTAAACACCAACTGTGCATATTTTTTCTCATGGAATGTATTTGACTGGTATTAGAATTTAAGGGAATTATGCAACTATTTTGTGCTTCTTAAGAAGAGTGACAAGCCTACATTATGAATAAAAAATCTCTTTAAAACGCTGTTCAAAAAGTATCTTCACCACATGATATAAAATTGTATTGACCAGTAATTGTTTTTAAGCTGGTTATGAGGTATTTTTAATCAGAAGTTAATCTTACTGAGATTACCAAAATTTAAGCTCCATTGTGTTATCATGCTTCACAATCGCGTGTTCTAATCACCTTAATAAAGGGTAATGTTTATTTACTTACGATCGTCTTCCAGTTCAAGTTCAATAGGGTAATGATCTGAGACTTCTTTCACCTGTAGTATAGAAACAAATCTAAAATATATGTCAAAAATGTCAACAATTTTTTTTTAAATATTTGAACAAAGACAATAAAAATAACTATACACAATGTGACCCTCAACTGTTCTATTGATAAATATTTTCTAAGCTATAGTGAAAAATTTTTTTTACAGTTCACAATTGTGTACAAATGTCACATTCTTACTGTATAATATGGGAGATCAAAAGCTTTTTGGAAATTGAAGGCCTTGACTGAGCCCGGAACTATGGTCTTAAGCAATCCTTTTGTGGTCACAACAAACCTAAGAATAAAAAGAGAGATTTGCATTTATACAGTACCTTTCACGATGCCCCAAAATCAATTTATAATCAATTAAGTACTTTTGAAGTACTTGGAATGTAGGACACATAGTAGCCAATTGGTACTCCACAAGGTCCCATAAATAGCAATGTGATAATGACCAAATACTAATTTTTGTGACATGGATTAAGGGTTAAGAATTGACAAAACCACTGGGGGTGACTCCTCTGCTGTTCTTCCAGAAATCACCACAGGATCTTGTAGGTCTATCCAAGAGGGCAGACAATGCTTCACCAAAAGACAACACATCTGTCAGGGTAATAGTGGAGTGTGACTTGAGCTAGTAACCTTCTGACTCAGGAAAGAGAGTACCAATTGAGGTATAACTGCTATCATGCAAAATGTCAAAATTGGAAATATGACTGGGTTGAAACAGTGAACATATTTTTGAAGCATAAAATACATACACTATGAATACTTACATCAATGTGTGGCAGCATTACCTGTCATATGCACAATGTGTGTATTTACTGACAGTTGTATCTATCTCATCACCAATCAGCCAATGAAAATTTTTGTGTTGACGCAGTCGTATTTGAGGCCAGTCACTGTCTGTGACATATCTACAAGCTGCATTGTAATCTCCAAGTATCAAGATGTCCTGCATTGGAAACCAAGAGACAACAAGGGGAATTAGTTTTGAAAGTGTCTATTTCTCTTATCAATCGAGCCATATTAACAAAAGCAGCAATTATTAATTAATATGACACCTGCAATGTAATAAAACATCTTAAAGTGCTTTACAAAGATTAATAATGGAAAATCAAATGATTGAATGTACTGAATACACACTTCCTTTGATGTAACACTTACATAATTGTTTTAAATTCAAATTACTTTTGAGGTTAGGCTATTTGGAATAAAATATCAACAGAAGAACTGCACTCTGTGTAATTAATTCATCTGGAAGTACCTGACATTGACACTGGATTCCGTACACTGACCAAAATAGACCAGAATGTAAGTAGTCAATTATTAAATCCATTTAGGGATGTGGGGCTCTTAGGCATAGAAGTGTTGCAATGGGTGTCAATTCAGTAATCTTGGGCAAAAAAATGAATGTATCCCATGTGAGCCAACTTGCAACTTGAATTTACTTGTTTTTTTTAAATACAGTAATGCTTATTCAGGATGAAATTAAGTGGAAAATATTAATGTAGCCTGCCGGGTTGAGATAGGATTTAAATACTAAATAAAAACCAAAAGAACTGCAGATGC